AATCTGGATGGGCTGGTGCACAGAATAGGTCTTTGAGATGGGCTTTGCAGCAGGGGGAAGTAGAGAAAGGGTAGTGGGAAGGTGGTCATGTGTTCTGGGTCTCTGACAGTCTGCCAATGGTGGTGGGACCTGAAAGTCTGATGGAGGAGGGTGAGGAGAGGATGGGGGAACAGAAAATGCTAGGCTGAAGGGATGATAGTTCATTTATCCAATTTAGCTATTTCATAAAAACAACGACAATACATAATTATAACGTGTTAAACTCTGTACTGATCACTGTACATGAATTATCTCATTTAGTCTTCACAACAATCTTTACTGCTATTACTATCTTCACTTTATGGATAAGAGGACTGAGGCACTGAGAGGTTACCAGACTTTAAGCAGCTGGTAAGTGCCATATTCAGGCTGTAGGGCTCCAGAATCTGTGGTTATAACCATTGAGCAATTCTTATTTCTACAGGTATCTCTGCTTTTCTGTGCATGCCCTGTCCTCACTCCATCCCACCAGGACTAGAAATCAGCACCTCCCCTAAGGGCCCTTAAAGCATCCATTTCCCTGTAGCATCAGTGAACAGTATAGACACCTGTGAGAGGAGCCGGCCCCTGCACACTCTGAGTTTTTCTTTCCCCTTTCCCCAGGTGTGGGGGTGAAGAGATGACAGGGGAAGCCTTGTGGGAAGAGGCCAGTAAATTACATCATAGAAATCTAGACTGTACAATGATTATTCAACAAATATTGGTTGAACTTCTGCATGCAGGGCCCTGTGCTAGGGAGGTGGGGGATATGGCAATGAACAAGACAGACACGGGTCTTGATCCTTCCTGCCCTGGGGGTGTGTTTTGGGAATGCCTGGTAGGCAGACTCTGGTTGTCAGAGTGATGGAGTTGCCTCAGCATTGAATGGGCAGGGGCCTGAGATGCTAAGGGAGAGCTCCACATCGCCAAGACTTGTAAGGTACGTGAATATCATTCCGGGATGGTAAAAGGAAGGCTCCCTAGATGTTTCTTATTAAAACGGAGCATTGGGTCAGAGGGTTGAGAACTGCTGTTTCCTTAGGCTGGGTCTGTTCCCAGGAAGCACCCCTCAGTCAGGGGTACGGAGGACCAGGAGGGGCAGGAAAGTAAAGGGAGGAGAAGGATGACGTGGCAATAGAAATTCTGCCATCGTGGCCTCAGTTTGATCTTAGCAGACAGCAGTAGGACCCTACCTGTGTAAGTCTCCTCCATGGACTCAATCACATAGGTGTGACCGAAGTATGGAAGACACCCCCATGTTTATCACCGACTGTGTCTTCTTACCTACTCAGGGCTTGAGGTGTGGCAGTCAATCTTGCAGGCAATATCCTCTCAAAATAAAGCAAAATAGCCCTAGCTGGTTTGGCTCAGTGGTTAGAGCGTCGGTCCTCAGAATGAAGGGCCCCAGGTTCAATTCCAGCCAAGGGCACGTACCTCAGTTGCAGGCTTAATCCCTGGCCCTGGTTGGGGCCTGTGTGGGAGGCAACCAATTGATGTGTCTCTCTCACATCAATGTTTCTATTTCTCTCTCTCCCTCCTGCCCTTCCACTCTCTCTGAAAAGCAATGGAAAAATATCTCTGGGTGAGGATTAAGAAAATAATAAATAAATAAATAAATAAATAAATAAACAAATAAATAAATAAATAAAGCCAAATAAGCACAAGATAGAAACAAGAAGTGACTCTGCATCTGGTGACTCCTGGCAGAGGTAGTGAGAGAGCATCAGGTGGGTGTAAGTTACTGGGTGTATCCTAGTTCTTGGTGTTCCTGGACACTCACTGGATTACTAAGAAGTAAATTAGACCTGCTCCCAGCTGTGGTGGGTGGCCTGACTTGTATTCGACCCACTCTCCTGCTGAGGACAACAGGAAAGGCTGGATTAAGGTTTTGTTTTTCTGTGTCTTAAAAAAAATTGATTTGAGAGCGAGACTTCGATTTGTTGTTCCATTTATTTATGCATTCTTTGGTTGATTCTTGTATGTGCCCTGACTGGGGATCAAACCTGCAACCTTCGTGTATCGGGACGGTGCTCTAACTAATTGAGCTACCCAGCCAGGGCAAGGTTTTGTTCTTCTTTTTAAATCTATTTGAAGACCCAGGAGAGCAAATTACCTTTGAGGTTATCACTTCAATGTATCCCTAAATACTGTTGTTCAGTGCAGAAAAGCAAGAGTCAATGGGGACACATAAAAGTAAAATAAACCAGCTCCAAATTATTAATGTAGGTCAACAGGAATTCAGTAATCTGAATAATATAAAAAATGGCATTAAGATGATTATAAATCACTATATTCCAAGATGGAGAAACTCATTCTATTAGGGACTGAAATAACAAAAATCTACTTTAGGTTTTTTATTTAGAGAAAAATATAAATTTTAAACCTATCTGCTACTTAGAAGTAAGAAAAGGAAATATACTTTTATTTTATTTTAATATATCTTTATTGATTTCAGAGACAGGAAGGGAGAGGGGTAGAGATAGAAACATCAATGAGAGTCATTAATTGGCTGCCTCCTGCATACCCCCCACTGGGGATCGAACCCACAATCCAGGCATGTGCCCTGACCAGGAATTGAACCGGGATCTCCTGGATCATAGGTCGATGCTCAACCGCTGAGCCATGTGGGCCGGGCAGGAAATATACTTTTAAATGTTAATTTTAAAAAGAGCCAGCAAATGTAGCAGAGATTTAAGGCCCCCTGATGTAGACATAAAGGGGACAGATGTAGGGGCAGAGAAAGAAGGAGCAGGAAGGTGGAGAACAAAAGACACAGAGAAGTAGCAGAAGAATTTTATCTTGGCCCCTACATGGCACTTACATTTAAGAACTTACATAATTAGCCTCAGCTCCACAAGCTCTGATCTCAGGCAAATGTGATCTCAGGCAAATTAGCTAAGCTCTGGGCCTCAGCTTCCCTATCAGTAAAATGGTGGTGACAGTTGTGCTTACGTCATGGCGTCGTCTGTGAATATGAAATGAATTAATAAAGGCACTTAGAAAAAATTCAGAAACACTAAATCAATTAGACATTAATCCCTCATTCATTCCTTCATTTACTGAGTGTCTAGTTTGTGCCAGATACTGGAGATATGCTTTGCACAAAGTGAGAGCTCAATGAACAGTGTTAACATGAACAAATGCAGTGGCCTTTTATTTATTTTTATTTTTAAAAAATATATCTTTATTGATTTCAGAGAGAGGAAAGGAGAGAGGGAGAGAGAGAGATAGAAACATCAATGATGAGAGAGTCATTGATCGAGCCCGCAACCCGGGCATGTGCCCTGACTGGGAATCGAACCCCGATCACCTGGATCCCAGGTCGACGCTCAACCGCTGAGCCACACCCAGCCGGGCTGCAGTGGCCTTTTAAGAAAAAGCAGCGGCTGGTCCCAATGGACAGTCTGGAAGTGCCCCAAGTCTGGAGGTAGGAAATTGCCTGGTGAGTTGGAGGCACCATAAGCTGAGTTGGTGGGGATAAGTGCGAGATAGGTTGGAATTGCCACACCAGAAGTGGCTTTGAGACTCAGGCTTAGGAGAGAAGCTTTGAACCTGCCAGCATGGGGAGATAATCAGGTTTCCAGGCATGACTGTGGGTCCCACTTTGAGATGTGCTATTTCCCTCCAGGTGTCCAGGAATCTCGGTCACACTTCAGACACACTCAGCACCCCCAAACTGCTCTATGTGTGCCTGAGCGCTTTGTGTCCCCAAACCAGAGACTGAGGCCCAAGGAAGAGTGGGGGACTGAGCTAGCGTTCACTTGGGGAAACTGTCTGGCATTACCTGGTAAAGTTAGAGATATGCAAACCTTACAACCCCCTGACTCCCATCCTGAGAGTATGCATACCTGTGTGGACCAGTAAATGTGTACAGGAGTGAACACAGCAGCATTGCTCCCAACAGCAGCAGCCAGAAATAGCTGTTAACAGGAGAATATGAATAAACAGGTTGTACAGTTACCCAATAGCATACTATATAGCAGTAACAAATGTAGCAGAGGCTAATACAAATCTTAGTAACAGGCAAAGAGAAGGTGTGGAACATAGTGATGAAAAGTGTGCCCTCTGGACCTAGCCAGCCTGGCATGCAATCTGGGCTCTCCCACTTGCTAGCTGGGAGCTACTGGGAAAATCACTCGACCACTGCCTCCATTCCTTCACTTCCCTCAGTCAAATAGACACTGTAATAGTGTGGTTCCCACAGGCTATTATGAGGATTAAGTGAGTCAGTATTTACAAAGGGGTCAGAACAGTGCCTGGCACACGTGTTGAGTGTTACATGAATGTTTGTTAGATAAAAATGAATGTTGAGTGGGGGGAAAGTCAAGTCTCTGAAGATTACATACTTTAAAAGTTCAAAAGCAATGAAAAAGAAACAAGATGTTGTTTAGGCATTCGCAGATGCTATAAAATTCCTTTCTTCAAAAAAGGGGATGATAAGCAGAAAGTAGTTTGGGAGCTGTGGGGAGGCAGGGGTAAGGGATGGGTAAGTGAGCCACTCAGAAGAGGGGTGGGATCCCAGGCACCCGCCACTCACTGTGTAATTAAAGGAAAAGTTTTAGCACAGTAATCCTTCAGCACTAAGGGCCTTGGACATCAGGCTCCCCAGGCTAACTGGATACTGTGGGGAGGAAGGAGGCTGCTCAGCCCCACGACTGACCGCAGAGTGCCTTGCAGAAGTGAGGTAGAGGCCTAGCTCTTGCTGCCAATCAGAGGGAGGAGGATCTCAGCCAGTCAGAGGGAGATGGGCTCCAGAGAGTAAGAAAGAAGGAACAGGATATGAGCTGGTCCAAAAGATGGGTCTACCCAGTCAAATGGAGGAGGGCCCCAGTCTGAGAGCAGAGGGTCCAAGTCTGTCCTAGGGAGGAGGAGCCCAGGCCCATCGAGGGGCCTCTGAAGGACTTGTTTCTCTTGTGGTTTTTTGTACTTCCTGTTCCCCTGCTCACTGCGGAAGTTCCTCTTCTTACCCTGTACCCAGAGCCTAGCCGGAGAGGACAAGGGCAGGAGGCACCATGAGTGGGGGCCCTGTGGGAGGCAGGCCTGGGGGCCGCGGAACACAGGCTGCTCAGCAGAACATACCCTCCACCCTCCTCCAAGACCATGAGAACCAGCGAGTCTTCGAGATGCTCGGAAGGAAATGCTGGGTGAGCTGGGGACCTCCTGGCCCTCCCTGTCTTTCTCCCTTTCCTCCCCTTCCTCTCCTCCTCCTTTTCCTCATCCTCCCTCTCTCCTCATCTTCCCCATTCTCCTCCTCCTCTTTCTTCCCCTCTTCCTCTCCTCCTTTCCCTCTTCATCATCTCCTCTCCTAGAATCCACTTACCCCCACTCACCAATCCCAGGAAGGTCTCCATGCCTATTCACTTTCTCTCTGGTTGCGGCTCTTCCTTTGGGGCCACGACAGCCGTGGTAAGGAAGGACTAAGTCTGGCTCCCAGACCCTCTGGTTTTCCCCTCCCAGACTCCACTGAGCCCCCACCCCCTGCTCTCCCCTCCCAGACACTGGCCACCACAGTTGTTCAGCTGTACCTGGCGCTGCCCCCTGGAGCTGAGCGTTGGACCAAGGAGCATTGTGGGGCTGTGTGTTTCGTGAAGGATAACCCCCAGAAGTCCTACTTCATCCGCCTCTACAACCTTCAGGTGATCCTCGCCCTCCCCCGCCGCACATGCAAACCCATTTAAGCCTGCAAGCCTAGATCTGTGTCCCTAGCCCTGAGTTCTTGGACAGATTAGTGAACCCCTGGGCCCCAGGACCAAAGACTTCATCCAGATGTCAAACTCTGGTTTGCCTTTCTAAGTCTGTGATGACTGACCCTAGAGTCTCCAAGTCAATGTCTATAACCCCCCCCCCACACACACATATTAGTATACTGCCTAAGTCTAATCTGTTCCATAAACTCCAAAAAAAAACAACCCAAAAAACCCACTATATTTTTACCTGAAACTCAAATCCACTCTAAATTCAACATTTTGAGTCCCAGAAATCCCCCATCAAAACTACTGAACCTCAGATGTTTACTTAGCTCCTAGTCATAAATCTGTTCCCCAAACCCCAAACCTGAATATGCCACTGAGTCTTGAACTCCAAATTTATCCTTATTATTTTTTAAAATATATCTTTATTGATTTCAGAGAGAGGAAGGGAGAGGGAGAGAGAGATAGAAACATCAATGATGAGAGAGTCATTGATCAGCTGCCTCCTGCACGCCCCCCGGCTGGGGATCGAGCCCGCAACCTGGGCATGTGCCCTGACCGAGAATCGAATGGTGATCGCCTTGATCCTAGGTCGATGCTCAAGTCCTGAGTCACATCCAGCCGGGCCCAAATCTATCCTTTTAACTTCACAACATGGACCACAGAATTCCTGAATTTCTTCCACAAAGCCCCAACCTGAACTCTCTGGCACATACCCCAAATTCATCTTTCTAAACCCATAAAGATGAACCCAGCATAACCACATCAACATTCCAGAACCATCAAATACTAATTAAACTCCTAAGCCACAATTCTGTTCTACAAATCTCAAAATGCACATATCTTGGCTGAACTCCTCCCCCTAAACTCCCAAGTCTGTATGTCTGAACTTCAAATCTCAAGCCCAACTCCCAATACTGGAGCCCTACTTGCCCAAATGAAGACCTCTATAAGGGGGGATATGGGATGGGGTCTAGAATGGGCTTAGTTTCCTAGGACTGGAGTCCAAAATCCTCAAGCTCAAGCTCCCCAGTCCTACACCTAAGGCCCCAAACCCCAAATCCAAATCTCTCACTGTGGTGTCTAACTCCCATACTGTAACCCAACCCTCCACATCTGACCCCTAGATCCCCAACTCTCTGATGCTGAGTTGGAAATACCCAAATCAGATCCTGGGGCCCCAAATTTGGACACCATGTTCCCTGCTCAGATAACAGAGACCTGCCACCCAGGGCATGCCTCAATGCCAGTGTGTTCCCTACCTCTCCAGGCAGGCCTGCTGCTCTGGGAACAGGAACTGTACTCACAGCTGATTTACTCCACTCCCACCCCCTTCTTCCACACCTTTGCTGGAGATGTAAGTGACTACCCAACCCCTGGGCCTCATTTGGGGTGTGGGGAGGAGATGGGAAAGGTATGGAGGTCCTGGAAGGCTGCTGACTCCAAAGTGTGTGCAGGACTGCCAAGTGGGGCTGAACTTTGCAGATGAGAGCGAGGCCCAGGCCTTCCAGGCCCTGGTGCAGGAGAAGATACAAAAAAGGAATCAGAGGCAAAGTGGAGGTAAGGAGACCTTGGGGGAGGAAAGAAAGTTGGGTAGAGGTGAGTGAAAGAGTGGGGAGCTGTAAAAGCCCCTCTTATGGTTCTGATCTCCTGTCTACCTGTCTCTCTACAGACAGACGCCAGCTACCCCCCCCACCAGCACCAGTCAATGAAGGTGAGTCCTCTAGGCAAGTAGGGGTAATAAGAGGCTAGCCCAGGAACCTGTGGCAGAGTTGTCAGAGCTCTCTACCCACTCCATCTTCCCAGAGAGAAGAGGAGGGCTTCCACCCCTGCCCTCACACCCAGGTGGAGATCAAGGGGGTGAGTACTAATTCTTCCTTGTTCCTGGATGAACAGGTGGGTGGGGAGTGGGTGGGTGTATGAGTAATGTGGTGGGTGCAGGGACAAGTGGGTGAATGAGTGGGTGGGTGGATGGATGAATGGATGTGTAGGTGGATGGATTTGTGGTGGATAAATGGTTGAGTAAGGGGTTGAATTGATGGGATGATGAAAATATAGATAGATATATAGATGCATAGGTGAATTGGTATGTGGATAAGTTGGTGAATGGATGGAGGGATGATTGAGTAAATAGAGTAAATGAGTGAGTGATCGAACTGAATGCACTGAACAGTGAACAAATGAAAAAGTTACATAAAATTTCAATCAGCAAAGAAAGTAATGATTGAATGAATGAATGAGTGAACAACTAATTTAACAAATTAATTAGTTAATGAGCCAGTGAATGAATGAGTCAATACTTAAGTGATAAGCATGAGTGAATGAATAAATTAATTAATCAGTGAATGTTTGAATGGTTTGTGAGAACCACCCATCCATTTCTCCATAAACCCCCTTGGACTCCCTCCATGACCATCAAACTCACAGAGATTTCCCTAACAGTTTTTCTGTTTCTTGCCCCTATGCTTTGGTTGGTAGGTAAGTGGGTCCATGGTTTAGTCACCCTATTGTCCCCACAGGCCCAGCAGCTGGCCCACTGTCCCTGGGGCTGCTGACAGTGGACATCCAGAACCCGGACATCACGAATTCACGATACCGTGGACTCCCAGCACCTGGGCCTGGCCCAGCTGATAAGAAACGCTCAGGGAAGAAAAAGATCAGAAAGGCTGATATTGGTGCACCCAGTGGATTCAAGTGAGAACCTTTTTCCAGTGGGCCTATAGATGCCTTGGGGGGCGGGGGGAGCAGATGAGCAGGTGGACAGGAGGAGAGCTAAGTGGATGGAAGGATGGACAGATGGATGGGTGGGCTGGTGGGTAGATGAGTGGATGGGTGGGTGGGTGCAAGTCCGGGACTAGGGAGAGGCAGTGAGGCACCAAGGTTGCAAACTTAACAGAGACAGTCAGTTTCAAGGTCATGCAAGTGCAGTTCATGACACTGAGAGTGAGTGCCTTCTTAAATTTTGTACCCTAGGCCTTTAACTTGCCTCACCCTAGTCCTAACTTGGGTGGGATGGTGGGTAAGTAGATGGATAGATGGATGCAGGAGTGAAATGAATGAATGAATAAGTGGGTTGGGGAATAAATGGATAGGTGGTTAGATGGATGGGAGGATGGGTAAATGAAAAGTGGGTGGATAGAAGGATGGGTGAGTGAATGAGTGTATGGACAGATGAATATATAGGCTGATTGGTTCACAGACAAGGTGGATGGGGATGGATAGATGGCCAGATATGTGGATGAATGAACAGTTCAGTGGATAAATGGACAGAAGTGTGTGGTTGAATGGAGACAAATGAGTGGATGGATGGAAAGGTGGGCACATGGGTAGATGGATAACTGGATAGACAAGTGTGTGAGGACAGATTGATGGACAAATGGGTAAACAGATGTGTGTGGGCAGATAAGTGGAGAGACAAATATATGATGGATCAGTAGTCTAACAGGTGAATGTGGATGGCTAGTTGGACAAGTGGATGGGTAGATAGATGGTGGAAAAGGGATGAAATGGCAAATGGGCACCACAAACTATGGACTCCCTTCTAATTCCATAACTACTGCTCTCATTCACTCATTCATTCACTTATGGCTCATTCATTAATTCTGGTCCCTCAGAGTCCCTCTAGGCAGGAGAGGGCAGGAGGGCTTCACTAGGAAGGGAAGGAAGGACAGTGGGGCTTCACTGGGGTCTCCTCACCTCCCCTAGACATGTCAGCCACGTGGGGTGGGACCCCCAGAATGGATTTGACGTGAGTAACTCTGAAGTCCCCTGGACTCCATTCATCTCCCACCTATCCTTCCCTAGTCCAGCGATCAGACCTACCCCCAGACCCCACCCTTCCCACACCCCTCTCAGATCCTTCTCTGGGGTGGACCCCGTGATAATCCATGCCCCTTCCCTCCCCACCTTATTCGCCCACTCCTGCCTCTGACTTTTTCCTCCGGAGCAGGTGAACAACCTGGACCCGGATCTGCGGAGCCTGTTTTCTAGGGCTGGAATCAGTGAGGCCCAGCTCACTGATGCTGAGACCTCCAAACTTATCTATGACTTCATTGAGGATCAGGGCGGGCTGGAAGCTGTGCGGCAGGAGATGAGGCGGCAGGGTGAGTCCTTTCTTCTGAACACACTCTTCTTCTCCAACCCTGGTAGCTGATTTCCAAAAGATACACTGTAGTCACTTAGTCCTCGTGGAAACCCCTCTACTGTTTGAATCAGGAGTTGGCCAGTTGGATACTCATTTTACAAATGAGCAAACCAGGCTTGGAAGAAAATTATAATAGCTATGTGTTATTTTCCCCCCTCAGAGCCGCTTCCACCACCCCCACCGCCATCCAGAGGAGGGAACCAACCCCCCCGGCCCCCTGCTGTGGGGAGTAACAAGGGTC